GAAAACATCCGGGAACTCACGCACTATCGGGACCTCATCGACCGACCTCGGTCTCTCTGCATCTACTCTTATATCCACCACATAAGCCACAAACCCACTACAACCCTGCTGTAGACTCTGCCTCGCTCTAGCGGCCGAACAAAATGCCGACCCATAACGTGTACCCTCCCCGTACACCGTAAGAACTCCCCCACTAGGGTCTCGTATGGTCACCAGCTGTCGCTTGCAGTCGATAACCGCCCCAAATCTGCTCAACCAGTCCATACCTACGATGACACAGACATCTCCCATCGCGATAGGGACTAAGTCAATCGGAAACTCTACTCCAAAAATCTCGAGTACACAACCTCGAATCACCTCTGTGGCATACACCGCCCTCTCATCAGCTATGGAGACTCTCAGAGGTCGACTCAACGCCTCTTGACTAATACTGATGTGCTGATAAACGCTAGTGACACAAAAGACCGACTCGCACCCGAGTCAAATAACACTAAGGCAGGTACAGAACACACAAGAAATGTACCTACGCATATCACAATATAAGCATAACACCACAAACTCAAAATAAACAGAGGAAGGAATACATACCAGCTACCACATCGGGTGCTGTGCGGACCTCCTCTGCTGTCAACTGGAAGGCTCTCCCGCGGGCCTTCGGCGCCTCGGCCTTCACCGGCCGACTCTCTGTAGCTCGAACAGCAGCAGGGGCAGATCCCTGAGAAGCTCCCTGAGCTGACCCTCGTAACTGCGGACACTCGGCCTTCCGGTGTCCGGTCTGGTTGCAGTGAAAACAGACTGCAAACCCCTTGGGGCAATCCTTGGCCATATGCCCCTCCTTGCCACATTTGTAGCAAGACCCTGCTTTGCATACTCCATCATGACTCTTGCCGCACTTGACACAAGTGCGGCCCCTCTGGCTCCCTGATCTCGAATCGGCGGGCTTAGCCCGCTTGGCAGCCGGCTGGGACTGTGCCGGTCGCCGATCCCTCCCCTGAGACTCAGCCTCCTCCCTAGCCTGGGTCTCCAACTCTATCTCCCTCTTCCGGGCATTTGCCTGAAGCTCAGCAAATGTCCGGTACGTCGAGTTCGCCACGAACTCTCGTATATCCCTCCTCAACACACTCAGATATCGGCTCATATGTGCCTGCTCGGAGGACACGTGCTCTGGGCAGAACATCGCCCTCTCATGGAACATCCTCGTAATAACTGTAACAGACTCAGTACCCTGCTTGAGGGTCAGAAACTCCTGGGCCAAACGCTCCCTCTCCACCTGGGGAACGTACTCATCTCGGAACATAGCTGTGAACCTCTCCCGGGTCACTGCAGCAAGCTCAGTAGGCGAATAGTGCGCCGTCACAAACTTCCACCAGTCCTTCGCTCCCAAGCGAAGCTGGTTCAACGCGAACCGGACTCTCAAATGCTCTGGTGATGCGCGAGTAAAGAAACACCCCTCTATATCTGATATCCACCTCATCGCTGCAATCGGGTCCTGGGTCCCGTCAAACTCCGGTGGCTTTGTGTTGCTGAACTCACGAAACAGCAACGCATCACCACCCTGCGGCCTGGCAGCAGTGACGGCTGCGGTGGCCGCAGCAACAGCTGCATCAGTAAGAGCGGCGTACCGCTCATCAAAAGCCTCCATCATCGTGGTCTTGATAGACCCGAACATCTCTGGAATCTCAGCGCGGATGGCAGCAGCCACCTCATCATGAATCATCTGGCGGAGCTCCTCATCGCTCACAACCCCCTCGCTAGTCCCTGGCCGGTGGCGTGTCCCAACCATGATGTCTCTCTGAAATACAACATAAGATATCAGAGGCCCGCTCGAGTATACTCACACTCGATAACTCAACCCTACTTGCTCCTTAGTACCCAATGGATTCTTACTTAGGGTGCGCACTGCTCCGGTGTCTTCAGTAGTACGGGCCCTATACTACCGTTCACACCGCATCAGCATTCACTCTAAGTCCTCCTCCTTGGATCCTTTGTCACAAGTACTCTATAAATTGTGCCGGTGAAGTGCAACCCAAATGGACCATGCCGGGTCGGGTCAAGTACATACCAAATATAGTTATGGACTTAGACATTAATCCAACAAATTAGGTGATGAGAAATAGGTGATGACCAGGGGCGAAGTATCTATGGGGCCAGGAGGGGCAGTGCCCCCCCCTGATTTTTGGGCTAGAAATAGGAATTATACTTCAAAAAATTTAATTACAGGCCTGTTATCTTCAAACTTGGGCTTTGACCCCTCCCGAATCAGACTCCAAACAACAAACATAGTCCGAATTCTCCAAGAAATAGTTCAGACTCTATAAATCAAAATCGGTTCTTCCCCAATTCCGTTCGCTGAATCGCTGCTGCCTGCTGTCGCTGTTGGCTTGTTGAGTCACTCGCTTTAGTCGCTTGGTCTCACACTCTCACTCTCGCCATCGACCATCGCTAAGCGCCATTCACCAAAAATTAGGTATGGAATCCCGAATCTTGTTCTTTCTTTTCCAGTTCACTTGTTCTTTGTTCTGATTGAATGTTGTGTTGCACTGTTGCTGCTGTTTGCGAGTTTCTCCTGACTCCTATTTTCTCTCGGTCCAAACTCCAAATTAGGGGTTAGAGTTTCTCCTATCAATTTGTCAATTTGATTTATCACTTATCAGTATTCAATTATGATTTGTTTAGCCTTCTAGTCTATTTATTGTAAGCTGTAGGAATTAGGATAGTAGGACACTGGACAGGGGACACCAAACTGGAAGTATGGAATATTTTTATAAAATTGATTATTTTTATAAACTGAAAACCTTAGACTATTTTTTGTTATGCTTCAAACCTTAAACTGGACAGTGGACACCAAACTGGAAGTATTGATTTTGTTATGCTTCAAACAAAACTGAAAACAAAGATGGATGAAAACCTTAGACTATTTTTATAAAATTGATTTGGCTGTCAATTTGTCAATTTGATTTGGTTTCACTTTTCAGTTTTCACACACTGTTAATTGTTAAATGAGTTATTGGTTATTGTTCTAATTTTGATTTTGATTGAATCAATTGTTCCTTCATTTTGATTTTTATAGATATAATCATGGGAAAGATGAAAACCCTAGACTATTTTTACAAAAGAAAGGATTTTTATAGATATTTTATGCTAGATATAATCAATTGTTCCTTCATTTTGATTTTGATTGAATCAACTGTTCATTCATTTTGAGTTATTGGCTGAGTTGTAATTCTTTTTCTAGGTGTTTTTGGTGTTTATTTGTTGAAAACAATTTGTTTTTTTTAAGAATGTTAATTTCAATTTATAATACTTTCGCCCCCCTAGGTAATTGTTCAAGCTCCGCCACTGGGGGGGGGGGGGTAGCGATGAGGATTGAGGTCCCTGATATTCTATGGCCCGATTTTCATCTTTAGCGATGTCCAACATATTGATGATCATTCCTGATAGACGTGAAGCTTCTAAGATTAAGCTACTTTCATACCATATTTGTAATGAAAAAGTTCCTTTAATAAAGAAAAAAAATCTTTTTAGTGAACAAAGACAGAGACTGAACTAAATAAGATAAATTACATGAACAAAAAGATTGGTCTCTCATCGATTCGAAAAAAAGTCAGGACCAAACTGGTCTAAATGAGATTGGACCAAGAAAAATCAGCACTAAAAATGATCGGCCAGAGACGGTTTGGAAAAAACCAAATTGTTTTGAGACCGGTCCGAAAAAGATTGGACCATTTCGAGATCGTACGGGACTGGTCAAAGACCAACACAAAACTTAAAACCGAAAAAAAACAATATCAAACCTAATCGGAAAAATCCTGAAACCGAATTGAAAACGCATACAAAAACCGCTAAACCGACTGCAAAAACCGACTCAAAGACTTGATCAGAAAAACGCAAACCATTTTGAGACGAAACTAAGTTAGCTCTTTCGAAAAAAAATGTGTATCTCTAAGATAGAAGATTCATGAATATTTATAATTTCAGTGGGCCGATGAGTCATTGAGCGAGGCCAAGGCACTGAGCTATCTTAGGTCATAAAAACGAAACCCAATTAAATTTGGCCCCTAGCCCAAATTAGGTCAAAATGTAGAAGATATTTCTAGAAGCTGATTTCTGGACGAATCTACTTCTGAAAAGAGCCTTCTATTAATTGTGAAAAATTCAACATAAACCCCTCCCTCTCGCCCCCATCTTTTTACCAGTCCACAGCTCCGCTTTACCAAAGTATTTGGAGAATTCAAAGGTTTTTTTCTCTCACGCCGCAGCCGTACTCGATCTCCGTCTTCCCTAGGTTCGATCTCCATCTATAATTTATCAGATCGGGTATCGTTTTATAAGTCTTTGTTACAATTAGCTTCCTAGATTCAATCTAAGTATGCTTTCTGTTTTGTTAGTTGTGTTTGATTTGCTTTTTGATTTAGTAAATGCTTTTTCAGCCGTTTAATTTTACAGATTTAGTAGGTTTTGTGGTCGATTATTCTTGCAGTAGGAAAAGGTTAGGGATGTAGACAGAATCGGACCAATGTGTTCTCGTGATGATTACCGTTTTGTGTTAGTTTGATAGAAACCGAAAGAGATCCCATTACTTGTTTCTCAAGTTTTTTTTTAAAGCTGTACGATACTAAAAACTTTGACATGAATATATTGTTATATTTCCAAGGATTGAAGCTTCCTGCTTTATACATATGAATTGCACACATCAGTCTGTTTTACATGTTAAAATTGCAGCAGTAAATCTGTTTGTTGGTATAGTCACCGTCTAGAAAGAAAGACAAACGTGTGAGGGTTTTAGTTCAAAGTCAAATCAATAATTAATAATGTGAAAGCTAGTACTAGTACTATTGCTTACGTAAAGGAACTTCAAATTTCATTACATGGTGTGTACATATATAGATGAGTAATCGAACAATTGTTGACAAATCTAATTACCTTTCATCTGTGCAGATTGATTCCTTTGAGGCAGAGTAACTTCTCATTAATTAAACGAGTTACTCTACTCAGCAAAGATGAGCGTAGTTGGATTTGATCTTGGGAATGAGAGCTGTGTTGTGGCAGTTGCCAGACAAAGGGGAATTGATGTTGTTCTTAACGATGAGTCAAAACGTGAGACTCCTGCTCTTGTGTGTTTTGGTGATAAACAGCGTTTTCTTGGAACAGCTGGTGCTGCAACCAGTATGATGAACCCAAAAAACACCATTTCCCAAATTAAGCGGTTAATAGGGCGTCCTTTTTCTGATCCTGAATTGCAACAAGATCTCAAGGCTTTGCCTTTTTCAGTTACTGAGGGACCCGATGGTTTCCCATTGATCAATGCAAGGTATCTTGGTGAAACAAAGTCATTCACCCCAACACAAGTTATGGGAATGGTTTTCTCAAACATGAAGACAATAGCTGAGAAGAACTTGAATGCAGCAGTTGTGGATTGCTGCATTGGGGTACCTATTTACTTCACTGATCTTCAAAGAAGAGCTGTAATGGATGCAGCAACTATAGCCGGTTTGCATCCTCTACGGTTGATGCATGAGACAACAGCCACTGCTTTAGCTTATGGAATATACAAAACTGACTTACCTGAAAATGAGCAGCTCAATGTAGCCTTCATTGACATTGGACATGCTAGCATGCAGGTATGCATAGCAGGTTTCAAGAAAGGTCAACTGAAGGTATTGGCACATTCATTTGACCGGTGTCTTGGAGGGAGGGATTTTGATGAGGTTTTATTCCAACATTTTGCTGAAAAGTTCAAGACAGACTACAAAATTGATGTTTTCCAGAATGCAAGGGCTTGCCTTAGACTCCGTGCTGCTTGTGAGAAGCTAAAGAAGGTGCTTAGTGCAAATCCAGAGGCACCTATGAACATAGAGTGCTGGATGGATGACAAGGATGTTAGAGGGTTTATTAAAAGAGATGAATTTGAACAAATCAGCGCCCCAATATTCGAACGTGTGAAGAAGCCTTTAGAGAAGGCTCTTTCAGAGGCTAAAACTCACAGTTGATAATATTTATGCTGTGGAGGTTGTTGGGTCGGGTTCAAGGGTGCCAGCTGTCATCAAGATTTCTGACAGAATTCTTTGGGAAGGAGCCGAGGCGTACTATGAACGCGAGTGAATGTGTCTCTAAAGGTTGTGCTTTGGAATGTGCTATTCTCAGTCCTACATTTAAAGTTAAAGAATTTCCAGGTATGATCTACATGACCCAACTTTTGTCTTAACTTGTACTGTATTAAACCCTAATTTGGATTTTGTTTATTTGGTGTGAAGGTCCAAGAAAGCTTCCCTTTTTCAATTGCATTGACATGGCAAGGTTCTTCCCAAGAATCTCAGAATGGAAATGTGGAGAATCAACAAAGCACAATTGTTTTCCCCAAGGGAAATCCAATTCCAAGTGTGAAAGCTTTGACTTTTTACAGGGCTGGCACGTTCACAGTAGATGTGCAGTATGCTGATGTCAGCGAATTGCAGGCACCAGCAAAGATCAGTAACCTATACGGTAAACATGCTCACAAATTCAAATAGTTTAATAGAATTGTTATTCTGATTGCTTTTTAAATTTTAAATTTGAAAATGGTGTCCAGATTGGTCCCTTCCAAGCAACAAAAGGTGAACGTGCCAAGGTGAAGGTGAAAGCCCGTTTGAATTTGCATGGAATTGTGTCTGTGGAGTCTGCACGGTGGGTTATTAATCAAATCTTGATAACTAGTGTGTAGAATAGATTGTATTTTTAACTTTTTTATGTGATTCCAGCTTATTGAAGAAGATGAGGTTGATGTTCCAGTGACAAAAGAAGCAACAAAGATGGATACAGATAAGGCTCCAGCTGATGTGGCATCTGGTAACGAAACAGATGTAAATATGCAGGATGCCAATGTGGCTGAAAATGGTGCTACAGAAACTGGAGATGTTCCTGTTCAGATGGAGACTGATACTAAGGTTGGTATAATATAATAGAACATGTGTGGGTTTAAAGTTTTGAAGTATAGATATAGTAAGATTTGTTATTTTGCTATGATACAGGTGGAGGCTCCAAAGAAGAAGGTCAAAAAGTCAAACATACCCGTTTCAGAGGTGGTTTATGGAGCAATGCTACCAGCAGATGTGCAGAAAGCAGTGGAAAAAGAGTTTGAAATGGCATTACAGGACCGAGTCATGGAAGAAACCAAAGACAAAAAGAACGCTGTGGAAGCCTATGTCTATGACATGAGGAACAAGGTAATTAATTAATTACCATTAGTTTATTTTTTTACATCTGAAAACTATATACAATACATGATGATGAATGAGAAATGGTCTTGTTTGATTCAGCTGCATGATAAACTGCAAGAGTTTGTGACGGATTCAGATAGAGAAGCATTAATTGGTAAGCTTCAAGAAACTGAAGATTGGTTGTATGAAGACGGTGAAGACGAAACTAAAGGTGTATATGTTGCCAAACTTGATGAGCTGAAAAAGGTGTGTTTTTATTTTCTGCACTTATTTATTTATTTATTTATTTTAAGATGAAAATTAATACATAGAAAACACGTGCAGCAAGGTGATCCAATTGAGCAACGTTACAAGGAGCACTCAGAAAGAGGATCAGCTGTAGAACAACTGCTTGGTGTTATTAATGCATACAGACAGGCTGCAGCATCCGGTGATTCAAAATATGAACACATTGACTTGAATGAGAAACAAAAGGTTTTAATTGTAACTTCCGTATTTTTCTATGCACCGTTTTTTTTTTCTCTTGTATTCTGACGTGGGTCCTCTCCCTCCCTCCTCCTTAGGTGTTGAATGATTGTTCAGAAGCTGAAAACTGGCTAAGAGAGAAAACACAACAGCAGGAGTCCCTTCCAAAACATGCTGATCCAGTTCTTTTGTCATCTGATATTAGAAGGAAAGCGGAGGCACTTGACAGGTAATTAATCATTGGACTTTTTTCTTTGTAAAATTTGTGTTTGTGGAGAATATATTTTGAAAAAAAGAGTTATTTATTTATTTATTTATTTGTTGATATGTCTTTACAGGGGATGCAGGCCAATAATGTCGAAACCGAAGCCAGCCCCACCGAAGGCCGCCTCCCCACCCGAGGCACCACCCTCACCAGCACCAGCCCCAGCCCAGGAAGGCGAGCCACAAGCCACCACAAGCCCAGACCCAAACACTAATGTAGATAGCAATGGGAACCCGGATGAAGCTGCAGCCATGGAAACAGAGAAGCCTGAATAAAGCCAAAAGGTTTCCTAGTTTTGTTGAATGTGTGTGTGGGGGGGTTTGTTTTATTTGTATACGTACTCAAGTCGTCAATATGGATGGATTTGGATTTTGTTGGGCGAAAACTGGAAAGGTGTCACTGGTATTTTTGGTGATGTCACGTATGTCTTCTTGTGGTCTATTTTGTTTTCAATTTTCATGGTTTAGTAGGTCTATGATGGTGATGGTGAGTGTCTGTTAAAGTTAAAAAGTGCAGGAGTTTTGGTGTTTCTTTGGACGCAAATGAGACCTGTATCTATTTTCCGAATTACTTTTATTCAATGCTACTTTTCATGTGTAACTGCAGAGGGTTCATATTACCACCAATTTAAAACATTTTATTAACAGCAGATAAATGGTGGAAATATTACTTAACAAGGTAACCAAATAGTGGAATTGATAGGTTAATTAAAGGAAAGCGATTTTTACATTATATTTTCTTATTTTTACAAAACAGTGTTATATTTTTTTATTCCTACAAAACAGTTAATCGACCCTTGATTAAACGGATAATGTCAAGGAGGCTTTATGAACTTTTATGTTTTGGTTTATATTTTCATGTTTTTTTTAATTATTAATTTTTGATTTCTATGTGTTGTCTAGGGGCATAAACTTTGGAAATTAGAGCATGGTTCTTGCAAAATCATTGTTAGCGTGGCAATCAAGTTGACATTCTAATTAAATTAATTTTCTTCATATTTTAAGAACCCATAAATTTGAACTCAATACCACCATGCACCACTAGCATCATCACTAATTTCTTCAGATTTCAAGAGCCATTTAGCACCAACGATGACTACCACCCACCACGAACCAGAAATCAGTCATTGACTATCGTGAACCTGAAATCAGTAAACTACCATTGTATCCATCTCCAACTTGCCAATCCCCCAAAAAACTGTCCACAATAAATATCTAGTTGCCCTTCACACCAACTGATGTCGAGAATAACACCATCAACTGATTTCAATAACAAAGCAGATTTTAGAAAAATGATATGGTTTCGGTTTCGATTAGTTCAAATGGAGTCAACCTCGGACAACAGTTCAACACCGTTTGCGTCGTATGTGTTCAGGAAAATGCAAGATCTGTTCTTGTTCTTGTGTGTGCATTCTTCAAAAATCAAGATTTGTTGTTGCGTGTTCTTCAAAAGTTGAGATCTGTTTGTATTCTTGTGTGTGTTCTTCAAAAATCGAGATATGTTCATATTCATAACATCATATGAACCATGAAGATTTATGCTAAAAATGGAGAACACACCTTAGAGGGTGTTTGTGATTGCTTTTCAAATAGTTTATTGGCTTATTGGTTTTTTAAAAACCCAATAAATTAAGAAAACATGTTTGTGATTGCTTTTTAAAATAGTTTATTGACTTATTGGTTTTTCAAAAAGTCAATGAATCAGAAAAAAAGAAAGTGTTTGGCTATTGCATAATGCTTTTCAAAATAGTTTTTTTACATGCTTTATAAATGAGGCTTCTAAACTTAAAATGGTAATACTACCATTAATGAACTCCTCGCGATCTCATTTTCTTCCCTTTTTTCTTTCCATGCATTTTTAGTCATTTTACAAGTATAAAACTTTTTTCCACCATAAAAGATGATCCAAATATTTTTTTTTTTAAAAAACTCATTTTGCTACTACCATAAAATATAAATCAATAAACGTTTTTGCCCAAAAACACTTTTGAAGTTCAAAAAATATCCGAAATAACCCTAAAAGAGGATGTGTTAGTGAAGGGATAAGGTACGTAAGTCAGTCGCCTTAATTCCTACAGTGCGAAAGGTACGAAGTAAACCCAACCCTTGAAAGTTTACCAAAGGAACCAACGTAAGAACCAAGGGAAGAATATCCCAAAGAAATGATTTTTGTTTGTTAGTGGGAGCAGGAGGGTAATGCTGTCTTTACTTTTATTGGTTAGTTAGTTGTTCGTGCCATTATCTCTGTGCATTTAGCTTTTTGAGTGGGGGAGCAATATCCTTTTGTCATGAAGGATCTTTTGTTTGTTTTCCCTGTTAGAGGTTATTTATTGGTGGTACCTTTGTCCTTTTCGTATGCAGAAGTTATTGTAAAAGTTCTCTAGAACCTGGAAATTCCCCCTCTCTCGAATATGGGCGATCTATTTGAAATTCAGTGGTTTTCCTTCATTCTCACTGTTCCATTGAGTTGTTTTGGAGTTTTTCTCATTTAATTGGTTCAGGAGTAGTCAAGGAGCTATCATTTGGTATCAGAGCAGTTCTATCCAATGGGAGGTGCATCTAAGGAAGGAGCTGCTGTGAAGAAGCTGGAAGATCAAGTAGGGGTAATACAGATCCAGCTTCAGTCTCATAATGGGGACATTCAAGAAATGAAGGCAAGGATGGACACTATCCTGCAAGGTCAGGAGTAATGGGTTTTAGGTACAACAAATAAACTAGAAAACAATTCCTAAGTTCACATACAACCTACTTTGGATCTATGTTTTAACTATTGAACATACAACTTTGAATTGCAAAACAAGAACCCTAGAGGAGAGAGGCTAATTTCGAAATTAACAAACTAGGGTTTAGGGTTTACATACCTTTCAATTGTTATAGCAAACAATTGATAATCCCTTGATCTTGATCTTGATCTTCTTGGAAGCTTTAGCACCACAATGTAATGCCTCTAATGGAATCCACACCCAAACTAGCAAGAAGGAAAGTAGAAGAGAGAGAGGAGAGGGAGTATGCAAAATCTCGGCCTTAGGGTTTCTTCAAAGAAGAGTACCAAAAACATGAACCAGGAGGCTCCTTATATAGCTGAGGGATCTAGGGTTTAAGGGAAACCCTAGTTATCCTTTGCTTAGGGCCTAAGCAAACCCAAGGGCCTTATCCAAGCCCCTATGGACGAAATTATTAGGGTTTCCCCTAAAGATTTCGTCCACCCTCTTCCAAGGGGGTTCTAGAGCCTTCCACTCAACTATTAGATAATTGCAAACTAGTCCCTGCACCTTATAATTAATTCTTTTAACCCCAAAATACCATTAACATATTAATAAATCATTTATATATATATATATAATTTATTAATCTTATAAATTAATATCTCTCCTTTCATAATTTCCTTGTCAGTTGCTAGGTTGAGGGCAACCCAAAAGGACTGTGCTGCTATCAATTCAAGTACATACCAATTATAGTTATGGGCTTAGACACCTAATCCAACAGTCTCCCACTTGGATAAGTCTGTAACTATAATTGCTAGTATGCCTTCTAAATTTGACCAGCAAATTGTAGCTTCCAAAAAGCTGCTGTCGAACTCTGACCCAGTCAGTTACGTGTCCTAAGATAAGTGATCATATAACCCTTCGTTCTGCTTGATATCCCCAGACAAAAGACATGGAATGTAATCAATCTCTTTGTCCAGAATCTATGTTTCCCGATTCCTGATTTGTGATGATGTAGGACTTCTAATGAACACATCAATTTAGTCCTGGCTGGGCCCAGCACATAAGTCAACACCAAATCATCGAGGGGCCCAAATATAGCGCTTTTCCTGTTAGGGCAAAAGGAACGAATAAACGTTGACTCATATGCTTGTATCTTTTACTCATCAATTATACATGACAATACGTTTTATAACACCAAGTTACTGATGCGTTTTCGTATCACCAATGCAAACCGACTTGTAAATTACAACTCATATATCTTCGTTTCAAGATTATAAGATATTATCGTCTCAGTATTACTCGTGATGAATTCCATGAAGTGATACTCTGAGCGAGGGTTTATCCAATACTCAAATCTCAATTTCTGAGTACTCATGAACATTGCAGCAATTCTATTGCCATGTCTATCCTTAGACAATCTGCAATCCAATTCATGACAGTCTTAATTCACTACTTACTTCCAAGAGTACGAGCGACTGTGGAGTTTGAATAATCTCATTATTCAGGAAGTAAAACATGCAAAAATGAAACACAATAATAAACAATCAAAAAGGTAGTAGCCAAACTTATAAATAATACTTTATTATTTAATCACCAAAAGTCAATTACATTTACTTTGTTACAAGTTTCAAAAACTAATCTAACTACTAAAACTAATATCATCTTTCAGTCCTATGCTCCGAGCATGCTGAATATGCTTAGCCCTACTCAGACCCTTTGTGAGAGGATCTGCTGGGTTATCTTCAGATGACACCCTCTTTACTATAAGATGGCCTTCTTCTACTCTATGTCTGATGAAATGGTACTTTCTGTCGATATGTCTGGTCTTACCATGATCTCTCGGTTCCTTTGTCAAGGCAACCGCTCCTTCATTATCGCAGAACAGTTCCATAGGCTCCTGGATGGTTGGAACAACTCCGAGATCCCCGATGAAGTTCCTCAACCAAGCTGCTTCTTTCGACGCTTCACTTGCTGCTATGTACTCTGATTCACAAGTAGAATCAGCCACCGTATTTTGCTTGGAACTCTTCCAAGTAACTGCTCCTCCATTCAGTAAAAAACACCCAGCCTGACTGAGAACGGAAGTTATCTCTATCCGTCTGAAAGCTGGCATCACTGTAACCATCTACTCTCAAAGTATCACTGCCACCAAGCACAAGGACCCAGTCCTTTGTCCTTCGCAAATACTTGAGTATATTCTTAACTGCTATCCAATGAGCTCTACCTGGGTTTCCCTGATAGCGACTGACCATGCTCAAAGCAAATGCCACATCAGGGCGAGTACATGTCATAGCGTACATGATCGATCCGACAGCGGAAGCATAAGGTACACGACTCATGTCATCTATTTCAACATCTGTACTCGGGCATTGAGTCTTACTCAATTTGGTATTGCTCTGGATAGGTAGCTCTCCCTTCTTGGAATTTTCCATACTAAACCTCTTTAGTACCTTATCCAAGTATGTGCTCTGACTAAGTCCAATTAGTCTCTTCTTTCTATCTCTCAATATTCTAATCCCAAGAATATAGGCAGCTTCTCCAAGGTCTTTCATGGCAAAACACTTTCCAAGCCAAGACTTAACTTCTTTCAAGGTTGGAACGTCGTTACCAATGAGTAATATGTCATCGACATACAACACCAGAAAAGTTACTATACTCCCACTAGCCTTGATATACACACAGAACTCATCTTCACTTCTAGAGAAACCAAACTCTTTGACTTTCTCATGGAAGCAAAGATTCCAACTGCGAGATGCTTGTTTCAATCCATAAATGGATTTCTCAAGCTTGCACACTCTATTGGGGAACTTTGCATCAACAAAACCCTCTGGCTGACTCATGTAAACATCTTCAGCCAACTTCCCATTAAGGAAAGCAGTTTTGACATCCAT